CACTCAGAGCCTTCCCTCCACACTCAGCTCTTCTAGTTTCCTGAATGGAATGGAATTTGGCATGCTCTTATGAAAAATGAGATTGCTTGGAGTGTAACTTTTGTTTGCCAAGGCCTATTCTTAGAAGACAGGTCAAATTGACTTTTTATTTATTTTAGGTAATTTTTTTAAAAAAACAATACTGTACTGTATTCACAAATCCTGCTTGTGTTAGAGGGGGAAAGGTTGATTGTTTAATAGGTTTTGAGATGTTCTTCTGTTAGTAATCATTGCATTATAAAATAATTGCAGGCAGTTAGATAAAAATGAGATTCCTCAAGACGTTGATACTGAGTTGAAAACAATATACGGAATTTTGAAAGGATCTAGAAAGAGATTAAACCGTAAAGATAGGTAAGTTGCATGTGTTAGCAAAACTCTAGAAGCTCTTTTTAAAAGCATAAGAATTTGCTATTTATCTTACATCCATGCTGTAAAGGGAATTGGGGGTTGCTTGTGCGTAAGGGGGTTGCTGCTCTAGGCAACGTTGTCTGGCTAAACCTTTCCCTGGCTGGATAGCCCTTTCTCCATGGCTGTGTCAGTCACTGGCAGAATCCGTCAGTGGGCGTTTCCTGAACTTCTTCCAACATAGAAGCTCTTTGACGCCAAGTCTCCTCCTAGCCTCCCTGCGCGGAAGTCTTCTGCGCAGAGTGGGCGTGGCCAGAGGAGGTCCTGGGCTCTCCCTGCTGGTCTCTGTGGAAGAGTCTTGGAGCCATCTCTCCGAAGTCCTTCCCTGCTCCCCTTTCTTCCTGGTGTCACGCCGATTTCCTTCCCCAAAGGAAGTGTTCTCTCTCTCCCTGCTGGTCCCTTCTCCTGCATCGTTGGGGAGCCTTACCTCCACTCTTGGCTCCGATGGCAGTTCCCTGACACATGCCAAGAAGATAAGAGTTGACAGAGTGTCTCCCATGCTGTATTAAAGCTCTATTGGTCCAAAGATCTTTCGTAATTTGTCCTTGGGGAACAATCCCTCCCAGCACCAATGGTGATGAGGGTTTCATGCATCTCTCGCCCTCCTTGGCATATGCTAGCCATTACCCAGAGTGGAAGGCCTGTGCGCTTGTGTTTTCCTCCCTCCAGCCTTCCCTGTCCAACTTCAAGTCCAACATTGGAGTTTACTTCAAGCTCAACAAAGTCACAGCTGGAGTCCTGGGTTGGGAGGGAGGAATTGAATATGGAAATAACAAGTGCAGAGGCTTCCCATGCTCATAACCATACGTGCATGGAGGGATCACAGTAGAACCCAATTGGGGACTCTGCTCCCATTATTTCGGAAAATGTTCAGTCTTCTTAAGTAATTCATTACATTTCCCTTTATGTTCATTCCACTGTAATTTGGGGTGGGGGTTTGCTGTTTTATCCATGGCTCTCTTCTTAAACCTCTTGTTTCATATTGCAGCATCCATTCACTCCCTTTTGAACAACTGACTTGGTAACTGGCTTGCTGGGCCTACATGCCCATTTTCTCCCTTTCTCAGATAATTTGTTTGGAGGTGGGATTGTGCTTTTTCGAAATTTAAGAGATTTCCCTGGGCTGGGTATTTGATGCCAGATTTTAACGTACTGTCATTTTAGGTTTATAGTAATAAATAAGCAATAAGTGATTTCTGTGCCAACACTACTTCTATCCCAATTGGTTTTATTTTCTACTTTTCCAGAATTTCCTTGCTGCTGGAATTGGCTCGACTTTGCTTGAAACTAAATTGTATACCTATTGCGTCTTTATGTTTAAGTGACCTGTTCAAATATAAGATTACCGTGAGTGTCAGGAAATTATTTTTTTAATTACTTTGTTTTATCATTATTTTTTATTCTTGTATGAGTGTCAAGCTGAACAAAGAGAAAAAGATTCCAGTCCTAGAGCTATTATCAGAGACAATTAAAGTCATTGCTCTCTAAAGAATAATTAATTGCAAAAAGTAAGGAGAGAATGTATCATTGGAAATAAATTAGTATTTTGCTGTATATCTACATATTTAAAATTGAGAAAGTTTTGGCAAGGACTGGCTATCCTTTTGACCCAGTGGGCCATTATCCTCAGCTGTGTTTGTGATGGAAATGATGGGTTGTTTCCAACTAAGTTATTGCTCTGAGTAGACCAAATTAATGGACTTGTTAATTTCAATGAGTCTACTCTGAACACGAGATGGTTGGACAGTGTTCTCAAAGCTACTAACATGAGTTTGACCAAACTGTGGGAGGCAGTGGAAGACAGGAGTGCCTGGCGTGCTCTGGTCCATGGGGTCACGAAGAGACAGACACGACTAAATGACTAAACAACAACTCTGAACATAACTTAGCTGGATACATTCCAATGTGGTTAATTCTTCACAACTCCTATCATACAAGATAATTCTATTTAGCCACAACAAACAGTATGTTCTTACCTCCCCGCAAAGCCATGTGTGCTGATACTATAGAGGGTGGAAAGGGGGACATCCCCTTATTCTTGTAGTTCTTAACCTATCCCCTTTGCACTGCTTTATATTAAATGTTAAGTATTGATACACCGATAATACATATCAGCACAGGGAGATGCCCACATCCTTGTTATCATACAACATCTCACAGATCAAAGGCTCTTTAAGATTGCAGGGATGTAGCAAGCAGGTTAGATGGCAGTCTGAAATATCTATCTGCACAATAGTCCAACCCAAGTGTCCTCTGCCACTCAAACCCTCACCTTCCCTTGCCCTGCCCAGGTAAACAGCAACAATACCAGTGTCAGAAGGATGACTTCGCCACAATGCATGTACTATAATTGTGTGTATAAGGCAGAAACAATTCCAACCGAAGATAACGCTTAGTGCATCTGATAAAGTAGATTCTAGTCCATGAAAGCTTATGCTACATGGATCAGTTTGTTTTTAAGGTGCAACAAGCCTCTTTGTGGCATTTACTGCAGCAGACAAAAGACAGCTGTGCTTTCTAGAAGTCGCATGACACCGACGAGTGCTTGTAGCACCCTAGGTCTACAAGCACAAATGCGCAACACTGTAATGAAACATCTGGACTGCATCAGAGATTAATCACGAGCATGTGCATTTTCTTGGTGAAAAATACGCTTATATTAATAGGATCCAGGCAAGAGAAATTGAATTGGACTGCTTGGAATGCGATTGCGAAGTCCAGAAACTTGGGCCTAGAATTGCAACTTATGCTAAAAAAGTGTTGGTTGAGGTATGTTGTTCCTTAAATTGGACAACTGCTTCGTAGAGAAAATCTCCCCCTTCCACATAGGATTTAGGGTCCCCCCCCCACTTTCCTTCTGTGTTCCTTTTCCCCAAAATCATGAAACCATAGTACAGAGGAAAGATAGGGAAGTGTTGCCCCAATCTGGAGGAAAGAGAGTGGTCCTGCTGGTCAATACACTGTCTGTCATAGCAAAATTGCAAGACAGGATTTCTGTAAACTCATGTTCTATGCCTCATCAAATCAGGTATGATGACTACTGCAGGACAGTGCTGCCGGCTTTTATAACTCACCGGCTGTGGAGGACATGCATTGCTAGCCAATGCACTCTCGGCACTGTGAGGCACCCCCCCCAGGAGAGGCCACTGATTGGCCCATTGAGATGCAGCAGCCGGCCGGGAATTCAAGCCAGAGGTCCCGGTGGCCAGGGGCGGAAATCCCCTAACGGCCGCCTGACCATGTGCAGCTCTGTTTCTTACTGCCTGGGGAAGGCGGCCGAGTGCAAGGGACCTTGACAGGCACCCACTCAGAAAGGGGTAAGCATCCACTACCAATAAGATGGTGCAAATTATGAATGGGAAAACAGTTTTTTGTTCTTGGGAGTTGCTATCAACATGCTGTCCAGACTTTCCTCTAGTCTGCAGATTAAGTTCAGGAAACATTGTTTCGATAATCAATGCAAAGTGTATTTTTATACTTGTAGGCTCAGCTAAAAACAATACAGAAACTGGACCTAATTTTGAATCGTGCCATTCGACTGAAGGACCCTAACGTTATTCAGGCGGTATGTGCTACCCTGTGGAATACCTGCTTACCATTACTGCAGCACAACTTGCAACAGCATGTCCGAAGACCATTGCTAGCTATTGCTGAAATCCTAGAGAAAATTGACAGGTAAGTGGGTTTTGATATGTGTTTGTTGTTCTATGGCAGGCTTCCTCAAACTCGGCCCTCCAGATGTTTTGAGACTACACTTCCCATCATCCCTGACCACTGGTCCTGTTAGCTGGGGATCATGGGAGTTGTAGGCCAAAACATCTGGAGGGCCGAGTTTGAGGAAGCCTGTTTTATGGGATCTGATACCCTTTGTATGAACTTCTGATGTATCAAGGAGCTGCTTTTTACTGAGTCAGACTATTGGCTTATCACAATTAGCTCTCCAGGCAGCAGTTTTTTCCCAGTCTTTATATAGAGATCCTTTTAACCAGATATCTGGCGCATATACAAACAACCCATGGCTTTACCACTGAGCTAAAGCTTCTCAGTGTTCTAGCCTTCCTATGTGACTATAATAACTCCACAGGTATTTCACTGTAAGATAATATTTTATGCTGTAGATTACCGTATTTTTCGCTCTATAACACGCACCTGACCATAACACGCACATCGTTTTTAGAGGAGGAAAACAAGGGAAAAAACATTCTGAATGAAACAGTGGATGTATCATTTTTGTGCTTCATGCTGTGGCCACAGACATGTGATCTGATGGTGAATTTGGGGTGACCCAATGCAAAGATCCTGAGAATCCCTGTGGATCCATGCTTTGTAACCACATTTTTGCACCATTGCAGCCCCAGGCAACAGTGGGTGCGTGCTTTTTTTGGTGCAGGCTGTAGCCATGGACATGCTATGTGATCTGATGGTGAATTTGGGGTGACCCAATGCAAAGATCCTGAGGATCCATGTGGATCCATGCTTTGTAACCACATTTTTGCACCATTGCAGCCCCAGGCAACAGTGGGTGCGTGCTTTTTTTGGTGCAGGCTGTAGCCATGGACATGCTATGTGATCTGATGGTGAATTTGGGGTGACCCAATGCAAAGATCCTGAGGATCCATGTGGATCCATGCTTTTAACCATGTTTTTGCACCATTGCAGCCCCAGGCAACAGTGGGTGCGTTGATTTTTTTGGTGCAGGCTGTAGCCATGGACATGCTATGTGATCTGATGGTGAATTTGGGGTGACCCAATGCAAAGATCCTGAGGATCCATGTTGATCTATGCTTTGTAACCACATTTTAAGTGGGGAGCGAAGGAAAAACAAAGAAGGGACATGAGAGGGGTGTGCAGAGAAGCAGCTGGCTAAGAATGCTGGAGAGGGATTTGGGGTGGGGAGGAAAGAAAGGCAAAAGTTCCCCCCCAAGCCAGCCATCTCTCTCTCTCTCTCTCTCTCTCTCTCTCTCTCTCCCCTCCCTTCCCCCTCTCTCTCCCTCCCCCCCCTCTCTCTCCCCCCTCTCCCTCTCCCTCCCCAACTCTCTCTCTCTGTCCCCCAGCAGCACCGGAGCACAGAGAGGAATTAGAAAGAACGACACTCTGCTTGCCTGAGGGGAGGGGCTTTCCCTGCTCTTTGTTCCGTTTCAGCAATCACAGCAACGAAACAGAGGAGGGTGGGCAGTAAGACCCTGAGGCAGAATGCAGGAAAGCTGCCACTTCCTCTTTTCAGGTTTCCCTTCTCCGTGACTCGCGGTTTGACTTTTGCTTGATTTTTTGGCTCCAGGGACCACACATTCGCTCTATAACACGCACAGACATTTCCCCTTCCTTTTTAGGAGAAAAAATCTGCGTGTTATAGAGCGAAAAATACGGTAAGTCATATACATGAATCCTTTGAAAATTGTTCTGTCGTTGCCCTTCATGAGCCACTTATGATCATTATACATATTTATATGACTCTCTCTTTGCCAGACTTTACTGCAAGTGGAAAAGGGAAAGGTTTTTTCATCCAAATAAATCATTATTGCAATACAGATGCATCGCATAAGGAGAAAACACCTCTTCATAGTTTTATTGAATATGGTTATGTTTTCTAGCATGTTGATTTTGTTACGTTGCCAAGTTCATATGGAAATTGCCCGCATTGAAGAAAATGGAGACAGAATAGAGGCTGCCATGGAACATTTGCAGAAGGCAATTTATCTTGATAACAAGGGGCTGTATCATGAATACCTTAAAATGGCATTCAATCGGCTTAGCTTAAATACAATGTTATACCAGCCCCTGGAGCGTCTAGAAGACCAAGCAAGCTTGATGATTGAACAGGTAACTGCTGGTGAAGTTATTCAGGTATATTAGTAATAATATAATCTATCTATAAACTAGATACTCATGTCTCTCTCTGTGTGTATAAAACAAATAAAAAGTAGATGCAGATTTGACTGAGATAAGTAGCTGATCGTTCTTCATCACAAAGCAACCTATTGAAAATGTTAAAATAAAGGGTTATGCCCAATGTATATTTTGGGAGATAGATGCTAAATGAATAAATTTAGTTTGTATTTCCTCACTCTCATCAATTATTATAATTTTAACACTTTTTAGGATTTTCCAGAAATCTTAATTAACAGTAAAGAGCCATGATTATTTTATTTTATCCATTTGTATGTTTTCACATAACATTAATGTACTCTGGGTGGCTTACAATAAATGAGAAAAATGCAATTGAAATGCAAAATAATATAGAAAATCATAATATCCGAAGCCACATAAGACACTAATGTAGTCTCTCTGGCATGAATCCCGGAGTGAGAATGGGTGTGAAGAGAGATAATGTTTAAAAGAGGCCCCAGAAAAAGCATACATAATAAATGTAGCAGTTGCATTTATAAAATAGGGGTTTGTGAGCCTCTGTTGAATTGCTGGTGGTGAATGCCAAGAGGGGGAGGTATCAGTATGCTGAGGGGAATGCTAAAGTTTGCAGACAAAAACAAATATGTTTTAAAGTAACCCTAAGAGGAAATCCGCTCTCCTGCCCACAAACAATTCACTGAGGAGTGAATCAGTGTCAGCCGGAAAAGAAAACTGAGGGAAGGGACAATGGAACAATGTATTTTGGAGGGGAGGGTGGCTGACATCTCTCAGGGGACGGGGATACACCGCCACATTTTATTGTTGCTCCTGTTGTTGTTGTTTAGTCGTTTAGTCGTGTCCGACTCTTCGTGACCCCATGGACCAGAGCATGCCAGGCACTCCTGTCTTCCACTGCCTCCCGCAGTTATTGTTGCTCCTACCTGTGTAATAACAAATGATTTCCTTTGTTTAGGCTAAAAAAGGGACTCAAAAGGCTAGCGTGAGGAAAAAACGGTCTCTGTTGGTGAATGCTGGCCATGCACTCGCTCCCGAGGCATTTCAGATTGTCCTTGATAGTGAAAATGAAGTTAAAGGTATTATAATCTATCTGATGAAGCTTGTGTTGATGATATTTTGCCTAACCTAAGAATTGGATTTCAGCTGTCAAATATAGAGCCGGGAGGAGTAGAGTTTAATGAAATGTGTAAACTTTGTGGATTCTGCATCTATAAGCGCTCCATTCATTGTAGTGGCTGTTTCCTACCCTTCCTAACCTTTATTCATGGCAGGTCCTCGCCTCTGGCAAGCAGAGTGTGTAACTAGCACAAGTATCATTTTACGTGCTTCAGCTCAACTCACATTGAGAGGGTTTCTAGTGAACTTCAAAATGGAAATTCAGTAGCTCCTTCACTTTAGCAGTAAGAACAAAGTAGCTATATTTACCAGTTGACTACATTTCACACTGCTGGCCATGCTTCACCCCTATATAGAAAAAGACCTTCTTTGGCTTGCTGTCCACAAATCCTACTTGGCTTCACCTTCTGCTGGGCTGGGGTGTGCATTCAATGTGATTATTATTTAATGTGAATGCTAGGGGGAGATACAAGGTAAAATTGCAGTGGATAATATGATGATACTCATACCATCTTAACAGGTGTGTTGTGTTGCGTGAGGTAGTAGTTTCCCAAACCTGGGTCTCTGTTTTTGGACTACAGTTCCCATAATCCCTAAGCACTGGCCCTGCTAGCTCAGGATGATGAGAGTTGTAGTCCGAAAACTGCTGGAAACGCAAGTTTGGGAAATCCTGTAGTAGATAGATTGTTAGGAACAAAGAAACTTGAGTTCAAACTCTACTCAAACATGACCCTGGGCCAGTCACGCTCTTAGCCTAAATTATGTTATTGTAAGGATAACAAGGGCAAAGGTCTAACCTTGAGCTCCTGGGAAAATGTGACTTTAATAGTCTTCACATCTCCATCTTCAGGGGAAATGTGCTTTACAACAATGTGAGGCAGTCCATTTGGGGTGACAAATCCCAGAGTGGTTGCCATTCTCCTGCCTCTAACCAGTCATTGAACTGAACACATCAGCTCTAGTCCAGAGTAAGGAAACTACCTTTTAATTTTTCTACTCAGATATCAAGGCTGTTTTTTGAAATAATCCATATAAGCTGTTTTTAGTAATTCAGTCCTGAAGCGAAAACTGTGATCCCTCAGACAAAGTCTTGAGTGATCAAAAGCTTTCCAGTTAACATTTAATAGGCTTTTGACATAAATTATTAAAGATGAGCTTTAATTGAGGTAAACACCAGTTTCCAGTGAAATGTAGGTTCTCAAGACTTTCGGCGTCACATAGCAGAACACTTACTGCCTTTCTAAACAACCAGCTTCCTTTAAAACATATAAGTTTAAGTGTTGTATACCTTATGGTGACCTGCCTGACTTCTTGCTCTTTCATAGATTCATAGAATTGTAGAGTTGGAAGGGACCCCAGGGGTCATCTTGTTGAACCCCCCCCCCTTGCAATGCAGGATTCACAGCTAAAGAATCTCTGACAGATGGCCATCCATCCTGTCTTTCAAAATATCCAATGAAGGAAAGTCCATAGCCTTCTGAGGTAGTCTGTTCCACTGTCAAACAGCTCTTACCATCAGAAGGTTCTTCCTGATGTTTAGTTGGAATCTCCTTTCTTGTAATTTGGATCCACTGGTTTTGGTCCTACCATCTGGAACAGCAGAAAACAAGTGTGTTCCATCTTCCGTGTTATATAGCCCTTCAGATATTCAAAGATGGCTGTTGTATCCCCTCTCAATCTGCTCTTCTCCAGGCTAAACATATCCATATCTCTCAACCAGTCCTTATAAGGCTTGGTTTCCAGACCCTTGATCATCTTGGTCACTGTCCTCTGCACACATTCCAGCTTATCAATATCCTTCTTAAATTGTGGTGCCCAGAACTGGAACAGTACTCCAGGTGTGGCCTGACCAAGGCAAAATAGAGCCTCTTCATATTCAGTGCCAGACAACCACTGTTAAGTAGATTTAAATCAAAAGTACATCAATGTGAGACCATTTATTTGAATGAATCTTATTGAAAGCAGTGGGTCTTTTCCCTGTAAGGAAGTTTGCTTTGTTTGGGTACTTCCTGGTGCCATAAACAGGCCAGACTTTTGACTTGCTGGGATTTCTCTGTGCTCCCATTGAGTTGTTCACAATAATCAGCAAATACAGTGATACCTCGGGTTACATACGCTTCAGGTTACATATGCTTCAGGTTACACACTCTGCTAACCCAGAAATAGTGCTTCAGGTTAAGAACTTTGCTTCAGGATAAGAACAGAAATCGTGCTCTGGCAGTGTGGCAGCAGCAGGAGGCCCCATTAGCTAAAGTGGTGCTTCAGGTTAAGAACAGTTTCAGGTTAAGAACGGACCTCCGGAATGAATTAAGTACTTAACCCGAGGTATCACTGTAGAGATTATGGCTGTCTGAGAAGAAGTCAGTTTATAGTTAAAATAAGTTCCTGCCTCCTTAAGTTCCTTGAGCTACTTTCTCAAGAAAAAAATTCTGGAAATTTTCTGCCCCATGTCGTCTCACAACCAAGGCCTTCTCTGTGAACATCCATATTTATGCTGGTGCAGGAGGAAAAACTTGGGATCTTTTGTAGAGCACCTGCACCACCCCAAATATCCAGAGGGCTGTATATTTTACATTGGGAGAGGAATTCTGTGTTTCTGTGTGCAATGTAACATGCAGTTTCCCATGGCCACTGTAGGACTAGACACACTCTTGTTCTGATCCTGCAAGGTTTTTTTCGCTCAGCATATGTATGCTAAGTAAAGTGTTCACATAGCATTATTTTCACTACTCCTCAAATAGCGGGAATGAGGCTTTAACTTTAATAAATAAACAAACAAATGCTTAGGCACTTTACATAAATTATCAATTGAAAGGAGATGATAGGTATGTTTTGAAATTACAACTTCTGCATTAAGAATGTGTACTTCTTAATATATGATATGATATGATATGATATGATATGATATGATATGATAATGTGTGTCCATTGATGCAAAACATATTAAAATTTTCAAAGATTATCAGTAAGGGATACAATTCTATGTTCACTTGTCTGAGAATGAAGCTCAGTGACTGAAGTGGAATTTCTTCTCAGAAGGTGAGTGTAGGATTGTGTTAAAAGAATTCTAGTAAATACTATCAGTTCCATGATGCCTCCTGGTCCAGAAATATTTTAAAAATAAAAATTCTATGTTCATGTATTATTATTTAGAGTTATTGCTTGAGGGCCATATTAAAGCTTTTTCAAGGACGATAATGGGATGTTATTTATTGCCAACCTTGTTACATTTGTAGGAAAGCCTTATGTAGTATGCTTATAAAACCATGACTACTTTGTCATTACACTACTAAAATAATCCTTGTTTGACATATTGGTATTGCTGGAGTCATTTTATACCTGAGGGCTCAGTTCATTTTCCTGTTGTCTCTGTCAGTATAACTTCCTTTCTTTGTCAATTTTGGGGGGGATTGTAACTACTTCCCCTCCTCTTTTCCTATTTGTCTGTCTTTTGTTAGTTTAAAACCCAGGGTTTGTTTGCTTTAACACACTGCAGTGTCAGCTTCTATGGAAAAACAGTGTTAATGTTACATTAGCATACATTATGCGGATAGGATGTGTTATAAAATGTTTTCCCTCCAGGTTTATATTTCCTCAAGTCAACAGTAGCATGTCGAAGACTTGAAGATGCTTTAATATCTTTCATAGGAATCTTTATCTTTCGGCCATTGGGGTCATGTCTGAACTGGTTTGCTGTTGTTGAATTAGTCAGATAGCATTTATAGTATGTTTATCCTGCAGTTGTTCATTCAGTGGCTAAATCATCCTAGTATTCAGATTTTGAAATTACTGTGGTAGGAATATCATGAGTCTGCATTTTTCTCCTTTTCTATTAGTTGCTTCAAGTAAAAGTAAGGGTCCAATTGGCTATCTCTGTGCAAAAGCAGAGCATCACTCCAGAAATGTGGAGAAAGCAGATGGGCATTTGAAGAGAATAGGACGCGAAAATGATAAAGAGAGGTAACAATGAGAAATCTTTTTGTTTGATTTTTTTATTGTAAAGTCTTTGAATTGGGGACTGTGTCTCTGCTTGCTACAGCCACCAGTCAATAATCAAATCAGGAAATGCTGTCTGTATCTGAATACACAGAACTCCTTCATTCTAATAAGGACAGACTATCCTGATTTGATCATTCTCATGCTTAATTCTCCCTTTGAAAACAGTAGTGCTTAGTTTGGGATGGATTGTGTTCAAATGTCATTGTGGCTAGGGGAACACTCTTCATCTTTTTTAGGACTAAGTTTCCGCGTCCTATAAATGAGTATGTATTCCTGCATTTGTTTGTGCAGTCTTTTTTCCTAGGGCTTTTGTTGTTGTTGTTGAAAATTTATTTGGATCTTTTAATTCATGGGTAGGCAAACTAAGGCCCGGGGGCCAGATCTGGCCCAATCGCCTTCTCAATCCGGCCCGCAGATGGTCCGGGAATCAGAGTGTTTTTACATGAGTAGAATGCGTCCTTTTATTTAAAATGCATCTCTGGGTTATTTGTGGGGCCTGCCTGGTGTTTTTACATGAGTAGAATGTGTGCTTTTATTTCAAATGCATCTCTGGGTTATTTGTGGGGCATAGAAATTTGCTCATTTCCCCCCAAAAAAATATAGTCTGAGCCCCCTGCTGGAAAAGTTTGCTGACCTCTGTTTTCATTGGTGCAGAATCAGACTTTGGTCAGAAATCGCAAAAACAGCACGGAAACAATGTGTGTGGGATGTGTGTCGGGCTGCGTGTAGATTCTGCCTCTTGTATGATGACAATCAAGCGAAGGTGTCAAAACGCAAGAAGTGTAAGTCAGTGTATTATGCATAATATTTTATCAGGTGGCATCAAGAAAATGCAAATGTGTTTTTTTTTCTTTTTTAAGCAGAAACCTGTTTCTGACCTGTTCAAGTCCTCAAAGGGGCATTTGGGCGACCTAGAGGGGCATTTGGGCAAATCAATTCCCACATTTGATATAACAGTGAGCCAGAATGAGCAGAATGGCTCCCCTTTTTTTGGCTCAAGGTCCGAATGTAGATAATCTGGAAAGGGAATTATCGCCTTCTCTCTGCTTATCAAATGGGCTTCTTCTACCCCCAGAGCTGTGTCATTTTTAATTTAGTAATTAATTTTGCTGATGCTGTCAACATTAGTGGGGTCTTGGGTGTCCGGGGGGGGGGGCAGAGATTGAGGGCCAGATCAGCCCCTGGAATTGGGATGTGTGTGTTAGTGGCATCGGCTACAGAAATTTAGATATGGATAACATTAGTGGTAAATAGATTTTGTGCTAGACTCTACCTGTAGACCTGCTGAAACCCACAGGGTCAGCCCTAGATCTACCAAATGTTCCTTGTCTCTCCCTCCCTCCCTCTTGGAAGTTCAGCTGCTCCCTTCACCTGCATGCTTTCTTTGGACCCTGCACCCTGAGCCGGAAGTATTTGCTCCCATGCCTCAGATACCAGAATTTGTCATTTCAGGTCATAGCAACCATATTGTAATCTGTATCTGTACTTAAATTGTACCCCAACAGCTACAGAATGTAATGTATTGTACCCCAACAGCTACAGAATGTAATGTAAGGATAGTGTATGTCTGCATGGTATTTCTAACAACCAAGAACTCAAAGGAAATTTAGATTGCATGGTTAATGGGGGGGGGGGACAAATTTAAAACTGGAAAGGAGGGCCTTATCATTTTAAAAGTTTACGTAAACACATGCCTGCATACAAAAGTTGTTAAAATAATGCACATTATTTCTTTTTCCTAGTATTCAAGAAAAAAGCAAGTATTATTACGGCAGATGAGGAACAGGAAGCAAGTGTGCAAAGAGAATTACCTTCACCCACCAAATGCTTCTCTTTAGAAAGAGATTTATTAAGAACTTTAGCAGAAGTAAGATTCATTAATGCAGAGGTTAGTAAATTGTACAGCGATCAAAATAATTATCTCTTTCTTTCTGCCCTTGGTTTCATATATGCAATGCTAATAAGGCAGTGATATCCACTTATGCAAGCTGGCTACTGATGGCTGCTTATTTACGAGAGAAAGGGCCATAAAAATGTTGTCTAATGCAAGTGCTTATGCTGTTTATCTCTTATATGAGTAGAGCTCTGAAATCCACACACTATTTAATTGGGTTTCTTGCACTTAAACTGTCACAGGGTTTCTTCTCATCATTACTCCCGCCTTCTCTGGAAACATGGAATGTCAGAATATGTATTTTGGTATGCTTAATGCAGGCTCAGCGATATTAATAATTATTAGTGGGAATATTGGCTCCTCCACTAGTCTTCTGATGAGTATTGATATATTGAAAGATTGTTTTTCAACTTTATGTAAGCCATACCAATGGTATTATCATTGATTTGACCGTGAAAAAGAAATGCCTTTATTTATATCTTTTGTTTCATTTGTTTCAAAAGATTTATATTCCACTTAATTAAGTGGTTTACAAAAAGAATAGCACAAAACAATTATCAGTAAAAAAACAACAACGCATACCACACTGTTAAAAGCAGCTATTTAAAACATTTTAAAATAATTAAATTAATGGTAAGATAAAAACTAGATTAAAACTTATGTCAACAGTCTACATGTCTGGATAGGCTTGCCAACACAAAAATGCTTTTAGCAGACACCTTAAAGAATACAAGGAAGGCACCTGCATGGTGTCAATCGGCAAGAGTTTCCAAAGTGTGGGTGCTACCACACTAAAAGATCCAGAGGATGGAATTTCTCTAAAAGTACAGGGTTAAAAGGATGCTACAACTACTAAATATTGTTCTTCAGAGTTTGATAATTTACCTTGTGGGATGCCGGGCCAATGGTGTGGGTTTATTCTCATCACATGATTGCAGGCAGGGATGAAGAATTGTGGGAGGAAGGCACGCTCCCCTCAGTTTTTTCCTCCCGCATGACACAGCAGTACATTTCTTCCCAGCTCTCCTCCTCAGTTAAGCTTTGTCTTTTTCCCCAGTGTGATGGATTATTGAAAGACGGATTGCTTGAGCTGACAAAACATGTAGAGAAACCTGCATATTAGTGTTCGGCTGGCATGCTCCCTTTCTTCCCTCTCCTGTAAGGAGAACAGCTGTAACTCAGGGGTAAAGCATCTACTTTGCCCCTGAAAACGTGGAGCATAGGTGGCAACTCCCTGGGTGCCCGAGCACCCACAAAATTCCCCATGAAGGGGCCGGGCACCCACATATTTCGGTGCCAGGGCCATGCACACTGCATGGCACCCACAGCCCTGAGCACCCATGGTCACAGGGCCAAGCTGGCACTCTCACCCTGGAGAGCTTCTGCTGGTCAGTAAGACAATACTGAGCTAGATGGACCAGACACCTTTGCCCTCCAAGCCACAGCTACTTATGTTTTAGGTAAAGGTACCCCTGACCATTAGATCCAGTTGTGACCGACTCTGGGGTTGTAGCTCTCATCTCGCTTTACTGGCCGAGGGAGCCGGCATACAGCTTCCGGGTCATGTGGCCAGCATGACTAAGCCACTTCTGGCGAACCAGAGCAACGCACGGAAATGCCGTTTACCTCCCTGCCAGAGCGGTACCTATTTATCTACTTGCACTTTGACATGCTTTCAAACTGCTAGGTTGGCAGGAGCAGGGACCGAGCGATGGGAGCTCACCCCATCATGGGGATTCGAACCGCCAACCTTCTGATCGGCAAGTCCTAGGCTCTGTGGTTTAACCCACAGCGCCACCCGTGTCCCCACTTATGTTTTAGAAGATGTATAATTTTGATGCCGCATATGCCATCAATGCCTTGTTTTCTGTTTTCCCTCTTGTGCCTCCTCTTTTAGGCTACTATTCAGTTATTAAGAACGGAAGGTGTCCAGCTGAATGATCCCGCCGTTGTCCCTGTAGATACGAGTTTGCACTCTGCAGGACATGCTATGCACAAAGCACAAACTGGGCATGAGTCAGAATGGAAGACATACAGGTGGTTTGATCTGAAGAACCTGCTTTTCTCATGCTCTCACTGCAATTAACCCTTAGAGCAGTTACATATGTATACTAATTTTTGAATTGTGAATGTGATCTTTAAGTGAATCTTAAGTGCTCATCTTTTAAATTTTTGTGCGGTTGTCTAAACTCTGAAATGCAAAATTTGAATATTGGCCTCTAACTAATGACATGTCTGTGTAGTCATTTTTCCACACCTGCATTTTTCACAGTCATTAATATTGGCAAGAATATACTTTGAGGGTAGCACATCTCTTAGCTTATTGTTGACACCCAAATCTGTCCAGTAAAAGTTGACTCTCCAGTAGATTTATCACAATTATATTCATAAGTACATCTATTAATTCCAGGGTTGTGGGTTTGAGCCCCATGTTGGGCAAAAAAACTCTGCATTGCAGGGCTTTGGACTTGACGACCCTCCTGGTCCCTTCCAACTCTACAATTCTATGATTCTATGAAACATAGCCATACTTGGAAATATGCACTTCTCCAATTTTTGCGATGGATTTGTCCAGCCAAGTAATGTGTACAAAAATGCATATTGCATGCCCAGCCACAGAGTCCCCCTCCCCACAGAGCTAACTACTAACTACTAGGGTATATGAATAAATGGACACCACAACTGTCTGGGATTTAAAAATATTAGGCAATCGGGGTCAGCTGGTTTTATATGCAGTGCCAAATAAATACTTGAAACAGAGACCCTTGAAACAGATCTCTCATGTTTAATTAAAAAAAGAGGCAAAGGCTTCAGTCCAACTTGGAAGCAAGAAGACATAAATTTGTTAAATAAGCATGACATACAATGCATGGGGCATGACAATATGAACTGCTGCTACTGGAAATGCTGCTTGAAGCTACATGGCTGCATATTTCAGCTTTCCAGAAAAGCAAGGCAGAGTGGTTCACTGATCTTTCATGTCCTGGAGGGACCCTGTCACTGTAGATAAGTTAGACAGAATCCTGCAGCCGAAAAGCAGCAGGCCCACATTAAAATAATTAGAAATCTGTACGCGGTTTTAAGAAAGCATTGCACCAAAGAAGTATCGAGTGGGAAATTATTCATCCTTAATTATTTTCATCTGCATTCCCTTTGACAATGGTTGTTCCGTCGTTTTATTTCTCCTGCCAGCATACATACCTTGCTGCCTCATGGTTGTACTATCAAACTGTAAAAGCTGATACTTCATTGAGCTTGGGGCTCCAAAATTTTCAGACCAAATGCACAACTCCTCCTGGTCACAATGGTTGGTGGAAACAAATGCAAAGGGACTATGGTCAAATATCTATTTTACTGCACATTAACTTGGGCCAGTTTAGACCAGACTTTCCTAGAAGATGTAAAGTTTAGGATGGGGGAATATGGTTTGATCGAGTTCTCATCTCTTCCCATTTTTGTAAAAGGCCAATGGGACTGGGCTTTGATAATCGCATCCTTGCCCCAATCTTGATTCCTATTGAAATCCACCAAGACTACTCTTTGCTCATTAGAGAAAACCTTTCTCACGTAGGGCAGAAGATAACTTCAGTTGTGGGTTGTGTGGATGGAGTGGACTTTTAGAAAGCTAAGGCAGTGCAGTGGCTAGCAATGTGGAGATCAGAATCTGGGAAAACCATAAGTTTCCACAACTCTGCCTTTTCAATCCTTGGGAAGTCAGAATACTCTTTGTATTTCTATATGAAGGTTGTGTTGGCGATTGTGCATGTATATATGAATATGTACATTTGAGAGGCATGAGTGTATTGATGACCCTGGGTTACTTTGGCCTTAGTAAAACAGAAAAGCAAAGAGAAGGTCTGAGGATTGAACTATAGATATTTTAATGGTAGCATTTGGAAATAATAGTGTTTGAGAGACTTGAGGGCTGGTACTCCTTAGTGTATGCATTTTGCTGTTTTATTTTATTCTCAGCAGGGGGAGCAATATAAAAATCCTTGCTTACTCTCAATTTCATAGCTCCTGGATTGACCGCTTGTCACAGTATGCTATGGGAAAACTTTCTACGGGCTGCCAAAATTGGAGAAGAGTTAAATGAAGCATGGATTGTACATAACATGTAGTGTATGTCTTAAATCAAATAAGCACCTTATTGCTGCAAAAGACAAAGAGAACTGTGGAATCCTGCATACTCTTTTCCAGTGCAGTTAGGAATATTGGACCATTTTGGGTAAGTTCTAAAGTCTGATGGGATGTTTTATGCAGAATATTTTTACTAACGCCATAACTTTTATTTTACCATGCTGTGCTCAGCATCACAAAATCATTGGTTTGGAAGGATCTTATTGTGGTAATCAGTAGCATGTTTCAGCTGATTTTCATACTTTATATGCTTTATCTAATCCAAATCTCATCCATCTGAAATAGTGACTAAACACAGTTTTTATAAGTGGCAGCAGAGTGGGCCAATAGCAATGAAACTGTGCTGTGCATAGTCCAAAAGGAAAATGTGCGCATGCACCATTTCTTTAATTCTGATAGCTTGGCATTTAGACAGATCTGTTAGGTGCATTCAGATTTCATGCATAGGGTTTATTGTAAATAGTAAAGGTAAGGTAAAGGTACCCCTGCCATACGGGCCATCGTGTCCGACTCTAGGTTGCGCGCTCAATCTCGCTTAAGAGGCCGGGAGCCGTTGCCGTCCGAAGACACTTCCGGGTCACGTGGCCAGTGTGACGAAGCTGCAGCTGGCGAGCCAGCACAGCGCCACACACGGAAATGCCGTTTACCTGCCCGCTAGAAAGCGGTACCTATTTATCTACTTGCACTTAGGGTGCTTTTGAACTGCTAGGTGGGCAGGAGCTGGGACTGTACGACGGGAGCTCATCCCGCACGGGGATTCGAACGCCGACCTTACGATCAGCAAGTCCTAGGCCACTGAGGTTTTACCCACAGCGCCAACCCGCATCCCTTTATTGTAAATAGTTAACAATTAAATCAACCTGGTTTGAGTTTTAAAGGTTTTTGTTGTTTTATTTTTTTAAATGAAGACAGGCTCTGTGACATGGCTTGCAGGCCAGCTGAATTAAAATATAACTAGTATGTAAGCTATTATGAACTATTTACTGGTTTATAATTGTATTTCATTTTTTTCCTGTTGGGAAAAAACTGGATGATGTTTGTAACCAGTTCAGACTATTAGCATCCTACTATGTTAGTCAAGAGGGGGCCATGCAGTTCTGCAGCAGGGATCACACAAGGTGTTGAATCGTTATGCTGTAGGCGTTCTACCCCTGGCAGTCACCCACGGTTTGCGAAATCCATTTTCCCAGGCCACTGTCATCTTACAGCTTGTGGCAGCCATAGATATAGACCCCATGTAGAAGCAATGATTCTTAAACTGACACCTTCCACATGTCTTGCTGAGTTGGTGAAAGTGGTACACTCTCCCTGACATGGAGCTGCTGAACAGTACAAAAAAAAGGTATTTCCTTAGGAGGCAGTGCAGTCCTGCATTCCAGGACTTGCACATATTTCAACCCACAATATGTAGAGGGAAACAGTCTATTCCCCTTTTAATATGTCAGGACAGGAATATAGTGTCAAGTGCTATTACCATACTGTACATAATCCTACACTTTTCAAGCATTATTTGGAAAGGAGACTGGATGAGAGAGGCCCTCGGTCATACACTAGCTAGCTAATAGGAGAATTGTTACAAACACTCTGTTATTACTCAGACATGGCAAGAAGTTGAATGGAGACTTGTGAGTTTTTAATTCTGATCCCAAGAAGATTGGGACGTATGAGAATTTCCCCCCAATTTGGTCACTGAGCTTATATTTCTTACTTAAATGTTAGCATATTTGTATATTCTTACTATAATTTTCAGGTATGTTTATATAGAGCATATGCATTTTAATCTTCACATGTATTTTTTTTAATTTAGTCGGTGGCGAAAAGTGCTTCCATATTCTGTTTGTAACGATATCTTTGTGGGTGGTTTTCTGTCTTCGTTTTGTTTCTTGTTCAGGAATACTACTATTTTGGTGACATTATGTAACGCTCTGGTCGGGCCTAATTCTTCCTTGGATCCCAAAGCCTATTTCCAACCGATGAAAAGAAAGTTCCGGAAGAAGGGCCCACCAAACGTAGAAAGACTGCTCCAAAAGTACCAACATTACTCTTCTGCGCCAGTTGTTGTCTGTGGATTCAGCTGGGATCCATGATATTAAAGCAGCCATAGAGGTGCAGCCTTTTTTTCATCCCATTTGTCTTCTGTATGGAGGACAGGCTGTGTAGAGCTGGGCTGGCCACCTTGTTAAGCCTGGGCGAGAAGGTGCTGTTTGTTTTGCTCCCAGTTGTCCAGGGGCCTTGGGTGTAAAGACTGTTAGAGGATATTTATTCATATTAGGAGCATGGAAGGTTGCAATGAGAAAGTTAGATCATTAGTCCATCTAGTTGTGTATGACCTAAACCATGGGTGGGTAACCTCAGGCCTGGGATCTGAATGTGGCCCCCCAAGCCTCTCTGGCTGGCTGGCTCTCTCTCTGTCTGTCTGTTTGTCTGGCTCTGCTCTGCTGTTTCTATGGATGGAGGGAGTAATGCTAATGAACACCCGTTGCTGAAGGGGAGAGTGCTTGGGTCTTGTTTGCAGGTTTCCCACAGGCAGTCTGGTTGGCCACTGTAAGAACAGGATGCTGGACTAGATGGGTCATTGGCCTGATCCAGCAGCCTCTTCTTACATCCTTTTAGAGATGCAGAAACTACCCCTTGAACAGCACATCCTGTACTCTTGGGGAGGTTCTCTCGTGCCCTGAAAGTTCTGTAACTCTGGGCTGGTGGGATGCCAAAGTATCTCCTTTGCTTGTGCTCCACTTCTCCAAGCTATGGCTCATTTTCTTATTGGGAAAGAGAAAAGTGTGTGTGTGGACACTGTAGTCATTAGAGAAAGAGTGAAGAACACCGGTGGAGTTTGAGGCTTTCAGAATACAAAAATAAAATAAAATAAAAATAAAAGAAAATGACCAAGGGGAGGAATTGTGTCCAAAACAGCCCAGTGAGGACTAAGGGTGCAGCTAACACCCGATAAATATGGACTTTTAAAGAGGCTTAACATTGTCTGGTATTTTGTCATAGACATCCAATTGAAAAATAAATCTAAAACCAAATGGGCTACCCAATTATTTTTTTAATGATCATCTCAAACGAGATAAGATGTAACTTTAAATTTTTTCCTAATGAGGCTGGTAAGCCAAATATCGAATCTGCAATTAGATGTCTAATTTTATTTTCAGGAGCAAATCTCTGCTTTATATGTGGCATTTCTCTTATAATAGATATCTAACTAGCTCTTGCTCGCTTCCTTCTTGTGCTAGTATTTAACGTACTGAGCAAAATATTGTATTTCTCCATCCAACCATGGGCAATGTTGTTAAGCTAATAGCAGGGGTTAAACATTTTGCCTGGAGGTAAGTCGAAAACAAATTAAGTCTAGCTGCATACATTTTAAGCTGGAGTTGATTACTACCCCGCTTTCTGTCTGAGGTACATCAGGACTGGCTTTCTTGAGGCCAGGAATTTACTTCCTTCTCCAGTCTGCTGGGTTCCAAAAATTAGCTGGGTGCAAGCAATGACTTGGAGCCTGATCTCCATTGTCAGGAGAATCAAGTAGATCAGTTATTGCGGGACTGGACTGCTTTAGATCATGGCTCAATCTTTTACCCATGGTTAATAGATTTTGAGTGGGCTGTGCTCTCTCATTTTCTGCAGCAGTAAGATTTTCACTCTGTTACCTTTTAAGCCTTAGAGTTCAGGACTGTATCTTCTCGTACTACTCATCGTTACCATGTCAACTTGTGTTGAAACGTCTTTTCCATTTTTGAGTAAGGGGGGCTGCGATGGGCAGGTGTGGCTCTGTCTGCATTTGGCCATCACACTAAACCAGGGGTCTGCAACCTGCAGCTTCGGAGCCGCATGTGGCTCTTTTACACCTTTGCCGCGGCTCCGGAGTGGATACTAGCGAGGGGAGGAGGCGCATTGTGCGCCCCGACACTCCCCACTGTGGCGGGCGCTGTACTGGCTGTGACGTCGCATGGGGGCGGTGCGTGCGTTAATTGAAATTGAAAGCCTCCTCTTCCATTTTAGATCAACCATAGTTTAGTACATTGTCTGTTCCCTTAAACTGTGTTTAACTGTGGTTAGAGAAAACAAGTCATGTTCATAACCCATGTTTTGAAACTGGCTTGTTTCTGCTAGCCACTAGTTAGCTACACTTCACCCTGGTTGGCACAATATGGCAAGCTGCAGTTAATCAAAAACAAAAGTGAAAGCTTCCGAACTTCTCCTTGTGCTTCTGCTGAAGAAGGGAGGGGCACATGAGTCCAAGGCTTGCTGTAAGTACAGTGGTACCTCGGGTTAAGAACTTAATTAGTTCCGGAGGTCTGTTCTTAACCTGAAACTGTTCTTAACCTGAGGTACCACTTTAGCTAATGGGGCCTCCCACTGCTGCTGCATGATTTCTGTTCTCATCCTGAAACAAAGTTCTTAAGCCAAGGTACTATTTCTGGGTTAGCGGAGTCTGTAACCTGAAGCATCTGTAACCTGAAGCATCTGTAACCCGAGGTACCACTGTAGTTCTTCTTATAAACCACAGAGCTTAGCACATCAACCTTTTCTTTTTGACCCGTGGGCACATTTGCAAACCATAGAAAGTGTTGCAGGCTCCCGCCCCCACAACCAAACATTCACCACAACCAGTAGCCACACTATTGGGTACACTGGAATGCTTCTTTCAAGTTTGCTTCAGCACCCGGGTGCATATGCCTAAATACCTTTGTGCCCGTGGGCTCTGTGTTAGTGACCCCTGGCTTAGCATTGCCTTCATACCATCCTTAACCTTGGTTAAGACCAACAAGGGAAGAGAGGGGAAGTTTAACTGTACAATTTCAGCACTGTACATAGCATATATTATATATACGGATTCCCGACATCTAACCCTATACCCTGTTGTACAGTAACTAATGTGGAATATGGATTTAATAAAGAGAGAGAAAGAGGGGTGAGGGGTTTGCCCTAGAAAGTGGTAAGGAGTACATA